GTGAATTTTTATCACGTACGAATAAAAAAGTGAAGAGTCCTCCTGTTTGTTCTGTTGTTTGAAGTGTCAACGTGTGGAGAAAGAGGAAAGAAAGTTGAGGGTAAAAGCAAGAGGATGGATTCCACGTGGATGCAGCAGATCAGAGTGCAGAGGGTTGGAATTTACCCGAGCAGATTGAGTGCCTGAGACCGAGTCGAGGAAAAATTCCGAGAGTAGTGTACCACAGTGTCCTCAGGACTGATATCACTGGGTGTGATGATGATTGATCCTTGAAGAGAGAAGAGCCATGTCACGTGCTGGTAATCTGGCGCGTTTAACTCGGCTGTTTCAGTCGTGGCCATTTGTGTTTATTGTCCTGGTTTCTGTGGTCAGGCCGATTTTCGCAAGTGAATTCCCAGAGAGGGAATGCTGCGATCCGATTTATCCCATCCCAGAACCAACAAGCAGAGCACCAAGTGCACCAACACCAACTGGAAGAAGTGGTGAGTGATTTTACCAATTTCGTCATAATTACAATTCCTCAGTTTTTCGCGAATATCCCGTGATCGACAGAAGATAGGGATTTTTCCTAGGAACCTTTTTTGTAGCTCTTGATTTTGTCCACAAAAAAGGTTTCTATAGAAATTTCGGTAATTCTCCTCAATTTCGTGCAAATTGGTGGGTAATGGCGAATTGTGTGGTAGGAACTTTTTTTCTCTCAGTACAACTTCGCGGTGAAGAGGTCAGTGACCCATCGACGTTTAATCGCTCAGGGTCTTTAAAGGCCCTCTCTTTAAAGGCGAATAGTATTTCCACCCGACCTAGTTTTCGTATTCTCGTAACGAGGTCGCTTTAGGATAATTTCGGTGTACCTCTGCGAGACCTCGAGACTCTTCTCACCTCCTTCTCACACCTGCGGCTCAAAATACTCCAAGTGTGAATTCTTTCTTCCATTTTATTTTCAACTCACAACCGTCGGTCCATGCCCTTTGCACGTAATAACGTACACATTATTTTCGAAAATTATGTTCAAACCTGAATTTCACGTTTTCCGATTTTTATTCATTACTCCAGGTACTTCCATTCGAATTCACAATTATTATTTCTCTTTGATACCAGATGATTTTATTTCCCTGTATTTTTCATTCTATTATTTGCGATAATTACGCGATTTAAATTACGACAATATTCCCAGAATAAAAATCACCAGAAATTTCGCGATACCATTTGTTATTAATTTTCAATCAATTGAAAATTCAACTGAAAAAGATCAAAACCATTAAATACCGTCACGTTGTAAATTACACTTGAGAATATTTCCACGATAAAAAATAACTTCCTAAAATTACCCGATACGCAATACCATAAACATAAAACATTTCTCTCCAACTTATTTTTCAATTCAAATTGATTT